AGAGAGAGAGAGAGAGAGAGAGAGAGAGTATTGTGTTACTTTAGAATGTTAATACCAAGGAATTGATGTGGCATAAGGTTTAATAGATCTGATGTCTTGTAATCCAATAGTATAAATTAATGTTTACGACGTTAATCAATCCTTCACCTATTAACGTCGATTTGAAAGCGAGTGTGTGCGAAAGGGACAGATGGGGTACATAAAAATATGTGTGGAAGGGGAGGGGAATGACTGAAATTCGTCCGAGAAGTTGTCAGTGCACCTTAATTAAAATTGTCGGTGATGAAAACTTAGAGGGTGGGTTTTTTTCCGGAAATTTCGTGGCAAACTGTAATAAGCAAGAAGGACATTTTATACCCCTATTTAAAGTAACGTTTGTATACATTATTTCCAAGCAACTACTTTGATTTTTATCAAAGTGTCAAGCCTAGCATAGCTTTCTCGATGATATAATGATTAGGCACTTCGAATGACGGTTGCAGGCAGAAAACAAGGGTTCAATTCCTTTGTGGAAATAATTTTCATAGAGTATCTCGGTCTTTTTGCTAGGGCGTTGTCATGTATCCCTTTCACCCCGGGTTGGACCTGATAGTTTATTTTTACAGCTTTCGTAACACAGATCCGAAGGTTTAGTTTTAGCAAAAGTGTTACACTATTCGCAACACAGATGCGACATAGAAGTGCCAAAAATTAGACATACAAAGAAAAGAAAGAGGAGAGATAGGAAGGAAGTTGTTAAACATAAAAGAAGAAACAAATTACACCACAACACATGTCACCACCATCTGGTTCTGATTGACGGGGTCGAAGTCTGATTCCTATGATCTAAATTGTGTTGATGAGGGCGCAAAACAGTTACATTAAAACAATAAGCACTAGCATAACTGAGTAACTTCTTGAGCTGTGCAAAATTCAGAAATATCTTTTATAATCTCGACATAGCAACCAAGGATGCAGCTTCTAAAAATCGGCACTGTAAAAAACTGTAAAAACACAAACACGCGCGCACACACACA